AATGGCAACGAAATTTGGGATGTACTCGGCGATTCACGAAAGCGTTACCGTGGCCCGTGGGCAGAGATAGGAAAATACTGACCGGGTAAAGAACCAATCAGATTGCAAGATTCGTTACCGTGCCCTCTAAAAAAACAATAATACAGAGTATAAGGTTGAATTTAAAGTGTGTAACAAAATGCTGATAGGACCTCTCACATTTTCCGACATCTACATAATTCTCCACAATGTCGCACTCTCTGTTCTGATGAGTGTTTTAACATCTTGGATCACGAATCCACAACTTTTCAACTTAAAATCAAAGAAGGTATCCAGACTCAATGGGAGAGACCTACACTTCATCATCACCTTTATCGTGTTAATTTAAAACTTTCCTTGTAAATGCATACGTTGTTCTGTTACTATTGTATGTTTTGTCCAATCAGCGTTTTGTTACACACTTTAAATTCAACTTTGTACTTTGTATTATTCAGAACCTTCAACTCTGTAAATCACTGCAGTTATACATGAAAGAACGTAGAGAATAGCACGTTCTAAAGGCCGCACACAAAGCTATATACTCTTATGATTGGCCCAGAAACCCTCAGCTTGAGCAAGTAAAACATGCTAGAAATTTACGGTCATCAAGTACCATAAATCTAGTCATTCCCGATGCCTTGGACACTTTTCAGTATAATGCGGCAGCCCTCTTCAATTCTCTACCGTCCAATGTTAAATGCTGTGATAATTTAAAATCCTTCAGTAAGCAAACATTATGTATTTTAAGGGAGTGCTGCCGGAATAAGGCGGAATAATTTCTTGCCCAGTTTTAAATAATGTATATATTGTATAATTACATTTTACTGTTTATTACCTAGCTTTTTGCAAATTCATAATTCAGATTTATGTATTTTTATTTATTATTTATTTATTTTTTAATCTCATATCAGGCGAAGAGCTATACCATGGATGTACCGATCATAAACCGTTATTATTATTATTACTATTATTATTATTATTATTATTATTATTATTCATTGCTCGCTGCCAGTTAGAAGGCTAAGCTATGAATTTTTGTCAAACTCGTCTTCCAAAGATGGCTTTGCCAGTCAATCCTCAACCTTACAAAGTGGTGCAAAAGGCGATTGACGTGTTAGCAGCTGATTGGCGATAACAAGCTCATGTAAAAAAAAATTATCGTAATTTTGCACGTGTGCTGTTAAGGCTTTTCTCAGGGCTGAAATCATTACAAAGCACCGCACTTCACATAATAAAAGCTTTCATCAGACGAGTGCATATGACATTTTGCATTTTGTTCCTCAATATAGAATGGATGAGAAGCAGTTTAAAGCAAGCTTAACGAAGTATTTCGGAGAAAAAACAGCAAAAATAACCAAAGAAACAACCGAAGATGAAATCAAACGTATCTATGCTGCACGGTCAGCAACATATGACGAGGTACTCTAAAATAGTAAAATAATAATAATAATGGTCTGGGGGACCATGTGGTACATCTCCGTTTGAACCACCAGACACCTTATCCATCATTCAGGGTTGCGTTTCTCGAATGTTCCAGTACTACTGGAACATTCGAGCCTGCTGCAACATTCCTAGATCTTAATTAAGGGAATAATGGTGCAGTGTTAGTATAGGTAATCCTATGATTTCGAGTGCAATTTGCAATAAATGAGCACGAGTAAATGTTTTCAAAACAAAATTTCACGCGCCCTTAGGGCGAGTGCAATTTGTGGTCTTTTTAAAGATTTACATGCGCTTATTTATTCAAAATTGCTAAATACTGCTCTATTATTCCCTTAATTAAGACCTAGGAACTAGAGATAGTTTATCAAAATTATGCAGAAGTAAAGCGCGCACATTAAGTGAAAAAACAATTTATTCAAACCCTGCAAGTGACATTGTGTGTTTGGTCAAAACAGCCGCGTACGATCAAAACAATAACATACAATGATATTTTCAGATCTTTCGGTTCGGGGAATTGTTCAGTCTGGTTTGTTACTTCTTTGCAATGAATTAACCCTCTTCTGCATTAAATTACCTGAAAACTTCATGTATCTTAACCAATCAGAACTGAGTAATTTTTTCATGTATCTTATTAGCTCAAAAGCTAGTTTATTGTACCTTGTTACCCAATATTTTCATAGTTTAAGTTCAAAATTTTTAGGTCAAAATCTCGATTTTGATTGAAAACAGATCAGCTTTTCGGGTTCGTAAAGTTACAAGAGCTCTCCAGGAAAAGGGGCCCAAGGCGATATTAGACTAGTGTTGTAGTTATCGAACACCTAATCTTAATAACCAGCTTGAACTTTCTCATCATATAGGAACATTCAGCGGCGCGCTCTTCATATTTCAAGCCACTGGCCGAATCTTTGCATAACGCCCTTAAAGAAGTTAAACAGGACAAACCAAAGGATCAGATCAAAATCATTGACGTTGGAGCTGGGACAGGGCTTATAGGATTTGAGCTCAAGAAACTCGGATACACCAACCTATGTGCTTTGGACATCTCAGCTGAGATGTTAAAGGAAGCAAAGAAGAAGGAGGTCTATACTGAGTTCATCTGCACGTCTTTGAACGGCCAGCCGATACATCAGATTGAATCTGGGCAATTCGATGCTTTGATTTGTGGTGGGGCGCTCATTCCAGGGCTTATCGGCTCATCTGCTTTCGTGGAGATGATAAGAATGGTTCAAACTGGTGGGTCTTTCGCAGGAGTTTACCGAGGCACAGGCACGGATGTCTTCGGGGAGTGTGTTCCGTGGCTAATTGTTGGACTTGACGCTAAAGAATCATTTATTCGCAGTTTCAAAGCATCTGTGGTTGAAGAAATTTTCCCACAATGTTTTTAATCTTTCAAACGCTGTAAAAAAAAAGAAACAACTACAACAAAAACGGACACTACCCTTTAAACATCATACTTTGATAAACCTTTGAGGAAATAATAATATTTTAAGCAAAAATGAAAAAAAAAAGATCATTTGAGATTGAAGACATATCAGGATTTTACAAAACGTGAAAAATCCTATCAAAAGTTTTTTGAAAACTCAAACCGTGAGATAGATCTGGTAGTGAAGACTCACGTAACACCCTTTTTGATAAATTCCCTAAACATCCGGCATCTGACCCGTAAATCTTCTTCTAGGGTCAAATCTTCTCTTTGCAAATCTGTTTAAAGAATTTCTTGATGTATCAAGAGCACGCCCCCAAGCTGGTCTCTTCAACTTCTCTTTGGATGATATTACAGTTTGTAGGTTAACCCTTTAATTCCCATGAGTGACCAAGACAGAATTTCTCCTTACAGTATCAATATGATATCAAGCAGACAAGTAATTGGAAAACAAAGAATATGTCAATTAACTAACATCATAGGAATTAAATGACAGACATAAAAGAGATCCAAGGAGTGAAAGGGTTAACCAACTCTGTGAGTTAAATCTCATAAATACATGGACAACTAGGAAAAAGGATGGAAATTTCCCATGATAAAACCTTACCAGAAACACACTAAATTCCTATGTGAACTTCTTTGCAGATGGCGTCCTCTGTTTCAACATAAAGAAAGAGGAATTAGAACACTATCAAGAAATGATGACAGAGCTGGAGAAAGCTGGCGATTGGATATGCATGTCCAAAGAGTCTTCACCTTTCTATGCAGCCGAGGACATGCCCAGTGATTGCTGGGGGTTCGTTTACAAAGTTTTGAAGAACTAAGAAACATGTATCATGGCAGTTACACCTAACTTATCTAGGCCATACAGGAAAATCATTATTTTAGCTAGCTTGAAACATCAGTTATAATGCTGTTGTGATATTTTGATGTTAAAACAAAAGCAAGTTTATGAAACAAATCGAACTGTTCAAACGACATTGCCCTGATGTTGTACTTACAGTTTTAACGCTTTCCAAACTATTTTGTGTTTTCCAAAATAGCCTATTTTTTGATAAATCAATAGTTTTCCTCTGCACGTTTAGGAAAACTAGCAAAATTAATCAAATTTCACGGATAAAATCTTAGAAAGATTAAAAAATCTTATTTTCTCCTGCAAGATTGAGCATGTCTGTAAAAAACAATGTGTTAAGAGTCAACCATGGAAAGATGCAGAGGTAATCTGCAACCACTCAGGAAATGGATATTATAGGAATTCTGCAACCACTCAGTCACTAGATGTCACAGAAATTCTGTGACCACTCAGCCACTAGATGTCGCAGAAATTCTGCAACCACTCAGTCACTAGATGTCACAGAAATTCTGCATTCACTCAGTACCATGTTGTCGCAGAAATTCTGCGATCACCCAGTCACAAGCTGTCGCAGAAATTCTGCGACCCCTCAAGCACTGGATGTCGCAGAAATTCTGCAATCACCCAGTCACAAGCTGTCGCAGAAATTCTGCAACCACTCAAGCACTGGATGTCGCAGAAATTCTGCGATCACCTAGTCACAAGCTGTCGCAGAAATTCTGCGACCACTCAAGCACTGGATGTCGCAGAAATTCTGCGATCACTCAGTCTCAAGCTGTCGCAGAAATTCTGCGACCCCTCACTCAAAACTTGTTGCAGAAATTATGCAACCACTTAACCACTGGGTGTCGCAGAAATTCTGCGATGACTCAGTCACAAGCTGTCGCAGAAATTCTGCAACCACTCAACCACTGGATGTCACAGAAATTCTGCAATCACATTTACACAATCACAATACAGCCATTTAGCAATCTTACTAAAAACCAGTCAATAAAAAATTCCACAACATTTGGTCAGTGATCCTCAATCACTCTTTGATTTACAATAATTAAACTATCAAATGGCACATCTTCATAAATGTGGTAGTTATACTCATCTGTTAAGGAAGTAAGAAATACAATAAACAGTTCAAGTCACGTCCCTTTATTGCACGATCAGATAAATGAAATGAAAAAATATAATAAATCCAATGACATAAAATTTTGAGATCTATCACACAAACAATTTGATTCCACTTTAAAAGAGGAAAATATAAACTGTTATACTGCCATTCCTTTGAACCATCTCAAAAACATATGTAAAAATTACAACTAATAAAAAATTTCTTATTTTTATCTTGCATTTACCCTACCCTGTAATGAAAGCCCTTGAGGCCTTATGGATGGAGAGTTAAGTTACAATAAATCCATGCTACATTTCAGTAGTTTCAATACACGGTGGCTTAGAAAATTCGACATCAAGGGAAAAAAATTTTGGTTTCTTATATATCTATATATATGTCCTACCTACGGCCTCGAGATGAGAGACTCGGGTTGAAATCGATTGCTAAATAAACATCCATAAATAAATATATTTTCCTCACAGAGTGGCAACTGGATACGACTCGATCGATAAAAGACTTCATCGATGTAGGTGGATTCATTTACCACATCTTGCTGAACAGTGTCAAAGCAAAAAGAATACCTAGCTTTGAACTTAACTCGACTCTGTAACTTATAGAGAATTAATTGTAAACTCCACATAGGCAGAGGCCACTGAGCAACACACAAGTCATTAAACCGCAATTCCAGTACATGCGTGTTCTAAAGCAACGTTACTACGCATGTGTCACGACACTCTATGTAATTTTACACAAATAACTAAGCCCAATTTCAGAAAGGAATGGCGTAAAGGAAAAAACTCAAGATTGAATTGTCCTCAAAGCAACATATCTTTCCTTGAGAAATTTTCTTGTTGATGGCATTAGCTTGTTGTCTTCCGTAAGCTCAAATGAACTGCACACTATACAGCTCTTAGGAAGGATCTCCACCCATGGTCTGGATTTTTGTCGGGGAACATGCTGAGGAGTCCACTTTCCACAGTAAGTGCCTTTCCAGTAATGCACCTTAAAATTGTCCTCCTCGACGGCCAGGACCTTGCCAATGCAGGGCAGTTTATCGTAATTGGCGAAGTACAAAGCCACAAAGCAGCTGACTTGAAGAGTAGCGAGGAAATCGTCTACCATTTCAATAGGCGCTTCCCTTTCCCTCGGGGTCCTGTAACGGCCTGTGTAAATCTGAAATATTCAACAGACATTTCATTAGAATTTACTTGTTTAGGTGAGCATTTCGACTGAGATGTATCAATTATCAATTGTTCTTATCATTTTATTCTTTGATTAATTATAAGTAATGGATTATGTGACCGTGTCATATTCTATTAGTGTAATTTGGTGTGAATAAGCACAAATAAGTTTCCAAAGACAACAAAATTTTTGCACGAGCCTGAAGGGCAAGTGCAATTTCGTGGTATTTGAAAAATTACAAGTGCTTAGTAGACCAAATTGCAAGAACAATGTGCAGACAAAATTTTGAAAGTGTGTTTGCCCTATTTGTAATTTGGACTCATGTTGCAACTTTGCATTTGTGCTACATGAGAATTGGCTTGTTTTCAGCAAATCAGAAGCATGTAATTTTATCATGTACATTATTATATATCTAAAGTTGGACTTGTATAATCTATAACTGGACACAGAAGGGGTTAGAGGAATGGACCCCTCTAATTATTTCTCTTTTATATCTGTAGGACCATTTGAAGGCTTGGCTTTTTAGTGTCCACTGCTGCATTTTAATTATTATTCACCTCTGTGATAGGCTGGATCTCTTTCTCTCTGAGCTCTAAAAGTTCATGAGGGAGTTCAGCATTTGAGGCTAAAACAGTCCTTGAAGTATTCTTCAATTTATCCACTGGCCAAGTGTAGTTGTCAGGTACTGATAATAGATTAAACTCTGTATTGCTAACCAGGATTCCCACTCTTCAGATGCTTTTAAGGGCATATTCTTGGGATATTTGGTGGGAATATCTCTCTTCAATCCCTCCATGTCCAGTTTATGTAGGGAAGGAGTCACAGTATTTGGCTTTCCAGAGGGTAAACTCTAGTATAGCAAAAAAAGGCAACAAGGAATTTGATATATTAAACCTCACAAGGCAGCCAGGTGAACAATCAAACATGGTTTGATTTTATTCTGGTTTAAATATTAAATAATTGTAACTTATCTGTTAAATTCAACAAAATTAATCTTTAAACCAGAGTAGCATCAAACCATGTCTAGCAATGTATTTGTTGGCTCAAATTTCCTTGAGAGACAATAATAAGGGCTTTCTCTTTCCATTTAATTCTTCTTTGACTTGTACACATTATGATCCCAATCTTAAAGACAGGGAAAAGCAGTGAGATACATTTTAAATTGAGGATCAATTTAAACCCAGCATATTCTTAACATGTAATGTCAGCAAACATTCAGTTATTTGGAGCATTAATGTTATTTTTCAGGCCTACAAATTGTCAGTGCCAATGCTACTTCAGAAAACATCAGGTAAGCTTTTAAGTTACTATTTTAACTATGACTCAGGAACCACTAATTAAGAATTTCATGTGCTAACCTTCAGCATTGCAATGGGCTCTTTCCATGGCTCATGGCTCCAATTTCTGTAGTGCATAACTGCTTTTCCATCCTCATTCAATGTAAATTTAAAGCACTTTGGAACTGTGTGTTCATGTAACTCCTCACAATAATCACTAATCCATGATTTTATGTCTTCTTGGTCACGTCGTATTATCGCCTTCAAATTATACTTTTGCTTTCACAAGCATATCTTTTGAGGGATTTTCCCTATTTGTAAGAGATGATCAGAGGTTTTGTAAAAATTGTTTTCAGCAAGGGCTGATTGTGTATCAGACTCCAATGTTTCATCAATATTATGATTTAATTTTTTGACCGTCTGGTGGCACGTTGTGACAAAAGGCAACAATCGTTCGTGACCTTTTGGCTTTTGTGTACATGAAAGGGCCGATTGTTGACCCCCGACAGAGTCCTTCCTATGATGTTTTCTGGGTACCCTCATGCTTTGAAACGTTGTTTGAATTTCAAAAGGACCTCTTCAAATGTTTTTTCGAAGAGTTAGTCCGAAGCAATCTTATTCCTTCGCCTTAGTGAGAACATATTTTTCGCCTAATGGGTGGCACGAATTGGGAGGTCTCGAACGGCTTGTCATGGGTTTTGATGTCAAAGATGGAATCTTCAGCGGATTTTTCCCCTTTAAACACTGTGGTATCCACTTTTTATAGTGGATAAATTTCAAATCGCTACTTCAAATCTCTGACTGGCATACCGTGCACATAAGTTGATCAAGTATTAACCGAACATGGAGCCATTTTCAAAACGCCCGCGGTTTTTGTTTGATTCAGACCTAGTTATGTATATTTGCCCGATGATACCGCCAGAGATCGTTGGACTGTGGGCGAAAACAAAATTAACTGTTCCCACGATTGGAAGGAAACGACGATTTAATACCAAAATTTAAAAGGCATAGCGTGGACAAGGCCTCACAGTTATAACACAAAAACAACAGGAAGTGTCAAGGCAACTTTTAAGTTGCGTCGACTGGTTCTCACAGGAAAATGTCACCTTTTTAATTTATTCTGAAGGTGTAAAAAGCTTTGACGGAAATGCAGTTCATCGCGACTCTTTTCATCACTGCTATTATTGTTCCCTCAGTAGTATAAAAAAAGGCAATGATGATTCGCGATAAGAGGTCTTCAGGTCTTCAGGTCTTCAGGAGTGTATCCCAGAACTGATCAGCCTTGGTCGTAAACTAACCTTCTACTTAAGATGCCTCCAAAAGATAAGCGCAGTAATGAAGCGAAACTGTGGTACATTAAAGTGAATTCGGGAGCCGCGTATTTATACAGAGGAGGAAAAAGAGTGGAAAATTTCTTAAACATAATCGGAGCCGAATCATACCAAGACTCATCAGGTTCTGTTGCTGAAGAATCTGGAGCATCACCTCCCAAGAAGAAACTCAAGGTGATTTAAAGTATACAGTATACATTTATTGCTGACATTGGACTCTAAATTCCCATTCAATCCAGGTTATGGCTAAATTACTGATGTATCAATTCACTGTAAGCCTAAAATCTATCATCAATTCTTCTTTCAGCTCGAATTCACTCCAATAAATTCACGGGGCGCGTATCGGTTTGGATCTGTGAACATTTGGGCTCGTAGTATTTAGCAACAGCCAGTTAGACGTACAACAAAGCGATCTGGCAAAGTTACCACATTACGAGGGAGCGTTTTTAACCATAGTTGAAGCAGGGGAGCAGTGCGAGGTAAGATAAAAATCTAGGTGAGACTCTCCCGCAACCGTTCGACTATCGAGTGACTTGGAAAGAAATGAATTAAGTGACGAGGCATTGTTATTTTAATTGCCCTTGTTAGCATAAGACGTTATATTTCTTGTCGCCTTCCGTTGTTTTAATTTTCCGAAAAGTTTCATTTTAACCGGGAAATGTTATAAGTTAAGTTAAATGAACTTAATATGAACATTTACTTCATTTTTATGATAAAAAATCATGTTACGTTCCAGTTAGGCTGAGAACGGCACGGAAAAATCGCCTTTAACGAATACATGCAGGATTTTACTACAATCCTAATCAAATCCTGTTTTTTGTGGATAACTTTTAGTTGTTTGCATTTACTTATTACGACTCATATTTTTCTCTTCACAGAATGCTGATGATGTAATTAGCACTGTTTCCCGCATTAATTTCTGCAAGCTTACATCATTTAACATTGTTTTATTTACAATGGTTGAAGGTGTAAAAAATCTAAAAGAAAAAATGCTAAAAGAGGGCGCTACTCTGGCACAGCATGGCTACTTTTACGTCCAAAATAAACCTCCAACTACAGCACAAGGTAAGATAATTCTAGAATTAAACAACTGTCCTCAGAAGAAAGTTTTAAAAACCTCATAGTCAACAGAATTGAATTATTTGATGTACTTGTAGAGTTAACAAAAATATATATCATGATTCTATAATCTGAACTTGTTTTAAACTTTCTCATTGAGAGCGTATTACATGCACAATTTATAATAAGGTTTGGTGAATTAAAACGTTCCAGCAGTGTCGAAAGAAATTAGTAAGTGTATAATACGCATATATCATATTGTTGATACTCATTTTAATTTTTTTAGGTCCGTATTTACAGGAAGCCTTGGAAACCTTTGTAGTTGGACACTGGTCTGTCTCAAGGCAAATAACCTCGAGACATTTGTCCGCCAGTAAAGAAAATTTGATTTTCCTGAATTCATTCCCAGCACAAGGCTACACATGGCTTGTAGAAAACCTCTCCAGAGAAGGGGACGTGGTTATTGATGCTGGAACCCCCAATGGCTATGCAATGGTGGCTGCGTTGAGGAAAGGGCGAAGCGCAGTTAGGATAGACAGTACCGCTTTGCCTTCCGAACAGGCAGCGATAGAGACTAAAATTTGTAGTCTTGTATCTTCCTAGTTTATATGTCAATGACAATCTACTAGTTGGTAAACAATTCAATTGACAAAGTTTATGTTATCAAAAATTCTTTTTGAGTGTAAGTCTGATTTGTAATTTGAATTACCTACTCATTAAAGCTATGGGTCCCGTTGGGAGCCCTTAGATTCCAATCGTGAGGTTCATTTCACTTGTTTTATTTAAAAGCATGGAAAAAGCGTCAGGATGAAGAGTATTGTTGACGTATATAGAAAAACATTAAAAAACTAGAGTTGAAAATGACGGTATAGATTAGGACCCTTAAAATTTCCTATCTGAAACTACTGCAGAATTTCTTCAACACTACACATAACATGGTGCAGAATTTCTGCAGCACTTGACGTTACAGCGTGCAGAATTTCTGCAACACTTGACGTTACAGCGTGCAGAATTTCTGCAGCACTTGACGGTACATCGTGCAGAATTTCTGCAGCACTTGACGTTTCATCGTGCAGAATTTCTGCAACACTTGACGTTACACCCTGCAGAATTTCTGCAGCACTTGACGTTTCATCGTGCAGAATTTCTGCAGCACTTGACGTTACACCGTGCAGAATTTCTGCAACACTTGACGTTACAGCGTGCAGAATTTCTGCAGCACTTGACGTTAAATCGTGCAGAATTTCTGCAACACTTGACGGTAAATCGTGCAGAGTTTCTGCAGCACTTGACGTTACACCGTGCAGAATTTCTGCAACACTTGACGTTACATCGTGCAGAATTTCTGCAGCACTTGACGTTACATCGTGCAGAATTTCTGCAGCACTTGACGGTACACCGTGCAGAATTTCTGCAGCACTTGACGTTACATCGTGCAGAATTTCTGCAGCACTTGACGTTTCATCGAGCAGAATTTCTGCAGCGCTTGACGTTACATCGCGCAGAATTTCTGCTGCATTTGACGTTATCCAATGCAGAATTTTAAATAAACCAGGTTATCAGATTTTTTAAATATTATGTTAAAATCATAGACTTTATTGTTCATATATTAAACGTTCAGATAATTTTGGGCACTTTCACCATGTTTAACAGACCATGCAGTGGAAAATGGAATATTTGTATGGGTAAAATGCCTCGACATTTAACTGTCCGTGGAATTAAACAAAGTTTTGCCCTTTTGAAACGACTCTTTTCCTTCCTCCGTGAAAATCGAAGTCTTTCTGGTGCTATCATTTATGAGACATTTCCGTGCTTTCTGCCTAGATAGTGCTACTTTGAGGTCACCCTCCCTCTAGGTCTTTAAAAAAAAGGTGTTATTCAACGTATTTTTGCGGAATTGACACTAATTTTACTCCTAAATAAGCCATTTTTGGCGGAAAACGCTATTTTGGAAAACACAAAATAGTTTGGAAAGCGTTTTTTGCAAATGCCGGTGGACGGCGACTGCCCGCAGACATTTCAAATTTTCTGTCACGGCTTACGTTTCATTTCCTGATATTAAAATTTCGAAAATATAGATGCCTTTTTCTTGAATTTGAACACAGTGATAAAAATAAAAGCTTTTAAGGTGGAACCGATAAGTACCAAGACTCTCCAAAAATTTAAGGTCAAGACGGAGAAGAACTGCTTATCCACTGAACAACTCAGGGGTCTTAGTATTGACTTAAACATTCAACACAAACTCAAAAGTTATTTTCGAAGCATAGATCTAACACAACCCTTGGTTTTTACTTGTCTTCCACCATAAAAGTCCAAAATAAGAGGGGATATTATGGTTTAACTCCGAAAGACGAAAGACCCCTGAAGCCTTCAGAAAGGTTTCAGCATCGTGCAATTCTCTATTTTGAAAATAGAGCCATTTCTAATTTCGGTTTTTCTTTGCTCCACACAGGAAAGCTGTAAAATATGAGCTATCGTGTGACATTTTATTCCCTGAGCACAAGAAAGATTAGTAAATGTGTTTAGATGAATGTTAGCAATTTCAAAATCGATTACTAATTGCGAAGCGCTATAAATTTATGTTAAACATTTTGGCTAATAACTCATCAGTGGGATAATGATTGGAAATATGTCAAAATCATATATGTGTGCTGCAGGGAAGAAACGGATATAAGCGATCCTTGCAGCTATGAACACTAATGAACGAGTAGTTGAAATAAGACCTAAAAAAAAATTCAGGCCCGTACGGGATTTGAACCATGACCTACGGGCCTGAATTTTTTTCAGGTCTTATCAAACTTCTCATTCAGTAGTGTTCATAGCTGT